CCTGCTGAATAGCACCCTTGGAGTCTTGATTCTGTGACCGTGTTTTCATGGAAAAAAATAAAGGACAAGCCTGACATCTGGAAGAAGAAATTATAGACTGAAGACAGCTGCACAAAAATGAAAGCCAATAACTGCAGTAAGGAAGGAAGAGATGGCATGCTGACCGTCTCTTTGAACTTCTCCCAATCAAGGAGTGGATGAGCCACAAGGAATCCAGACAGTTGCCCTTGAAAGGAGACCACAAGACAGAGTCTCCAATGGATTTTGACCACTAGAAGACGAGGGAATAGTCATCTTGCTCATACTATGGTCAATGCCTTCTGAAAACACACTAACTTTGCATACTTCTTTTTCTAATCATGTTTGGAAATTTTTTATTAACTACTTTTCAGTTATTATAAATGGTTTGATCCAACAAGTTTGAAAACACCAGGTGACTATGCCTTCAATTCTTAGTAAAAGTTAATTTTAACTACAAGCTGAATTTTTTTAAAAAAAGTTTTTGAAAAAAATGCAAAATATTGATTAAAACTTTGATTTTATAAAGCTACAAATAAGTAAAGATCCAGATAAATTTGAAATAAGGTTTTTGGATTAATTATAAAAATTCTTCTAGTGGTAAAATACTTTTATTTTTAATTTTTTTAAAATCATAAAATTGTTAAAAATTAAACAATACAGGGAATTAGTGATTTCATTTAAAGGAGAAAAGCACATAAACTTGACTAACAGAGATTGGTGCAAAATATTCTAACATGAAATATTGATACTTTCAAAAAATCATGTCAGAAATTAATGTTAACAATGTCAAGAGCAATATCTGTCTTTATGGATAAACAGTGTCTAAAAGATGTAATGAAAGAGGAGCAAGGCAGAGACCGAGTTAAAAGTGGACTTATAAATGACAGGCTACAGGAATGACATGGAAAAATATATTATATTGGACATACAAAAGAAATTAGCTGATGTTTTAATAATTAAGCAGAGCCTTAAACAATAAGCCAAGAGAGGAAATGATACACCAGCTCAGTTTAATTAGAATCTGTGATCGCTGACTAAAACAGTGGTGGGTTGCCCCCAGTTCGGACCGGTTCTATAGAACCAGTAGTAAAACCGGAGGGAGGCTCCGCCCACCGACCCTGTCATCATCAGAACTCTTCTGCACAGAAGAGTACACGCGCTTGAGCGAAGCAAACGCGCACGCGCGGCCCCATTGCAAACCGGTAGTAAAGGTAAGTAGAACCCACCCCTGGACTAAAAGGTTCTCTTCTTTAATCCCAGATGCATGAGAACTAGTCAAGAGTGCTCATAACTAAAAAAGGAGAAGGTTACAACCGTGATCTTGACATATACATTCAAATATACACATGTATTTGCCATGTACTTAAATGCACCCATATGTCACTAGTTACATTGCTGGACAGTTAGCATTTAGGTGCAATTTAAGATGCCAGTTGTCATCTAAAAAAAATCTTCATGGCATATAGGGTGTTGAGGCACCACTTGTCTCCAGTTATTTCTGCCTATCTAATAAGATACAGTAGGGATGATCTGGGTGCCTTCATTTAAACAATGCCACCTAGTAGCATCCAGAGACATGCCTTCTCTGTCAATGTGTTTGCCCTCTGGCACAGCATCTCCCCATAGGTGTGCATGACTCCCACCCTACATGGTTTTATAAGTCTGTTGTGGCCCATCAGCGGCCTGTGCAGATTGTAGCTGATTCTGACAATGAGGAGGCTGGTGTGGTGCTGCGTCAGCAGCCTGTGCAGCTGGCACTCGAGTCGGACAGTGAGGAGGCTGTAGAAGATGTGGTGCTAGAGGCAGGGATTCAGCTAGAGCCTTCAGAACCTCCTTTAAGTGAAGGAGGAACCTCTTCTCAATGCACGGGCGTGCAGAGCTGCCAAAAGGCAGGAGTGGCTCCTCAGGAGGAGGTCTCCTCGAGAGTAAGGCTTGGGGCTAATTGGCCACTCCCTTAGCCTATTTAAGAAGGAACGCCACTTGCAACAAGCTGTAGAGAACAACTTTAGTTCACTCTCCTTCGTGTCTGCAAAATTGTTTCTGGGCTTTCTGCCAACTCTAGTAAGACTGTGATTACTTTATCTTAGAATTCTGGTAGACTGTTAAGACAGTTCATTAACAGCCTTTGAATGATAAAGACTAACTTATTTGAGTAAAATAAGCTTTGTATAGAGTTTGTGTGTGCTGCGTTCTTTGGGGTCCGTAGCTGGGGCAGAACAAAGTCTTTGAAAAGATTCCTTTACTCCAGTCCTAAAGTTGTTGATTTGTTCAGCAATGTGGGGTTGTTGTTTTTTGCAATGGGTGATGTTATTCAGGTGTACATGTTTTTTTAAAAACTTCTTTGAACTATGTAAGCTGCCCAGAGTCCTTTGGGAGCTAGGTGGCCTTTCCAAAACTACATAAATGTGTTCATTTTACTCAACTTCAGAGAAATAAAGCTGAGAATAAAGCTGTGGCAACTGAACACCTATGGCAATAGCCCCCAACCTTTTCGGCACTAAGGACTGATTCCATGGAGAAAGGTTTTTCCGCGGACCAGAGGGGGCGAGGTTTTGCGTGCTGCCTGCATTCCATGGATGGGATTTTGCGTGTTTGTGTGGCCTGGTTGCTGGCATGCCACGGACCAGTGCTGGTCCATGGACCAAGAGTTAGGACCTGTGACCTATGGGAACAGGAGATAGAGTGGGGCAAATTTTCACCTACAAACTCTGCAAATTTCACATAAACAAGTCAGTAAATCACTTTTGTTACAATTTTGGATGTACCAGATAAGAACCTTTTAAAAAATGTTTAGTAATAAATTGGCTCAGATCTCAGGCATGATCAACACTGTGATATTGGCCATGTGTATAATTGATTCAAAGGTCTCCTATGGAAATGTTCTAGAAGGCATTCATGGAAGAAATTCCGTATTTCAAAATTCTGACCTTAATCCAACTGAAATGCTGTGGCATTTCAGATTTTGTAAGACAGACTGAAATGAATTGTTCTCTGTGAACAAATCAACTGGTACAGGATATATTTGGTTGAAGTGATTGTGCTAGAAGAAGGGTCATCAGTTGCAATTCCAAAGCTTCTCGTATAGGTGGTCCTCATTTAATGATGGTAATTGCACCAGAATTTCCTTTGCTAACAAATAACTACCAGGATTTTTAATTACTGTTATTCCTTTCACTCTTATTCTTTACAGCTCACCCAAGTTTGCTGATTGATTCTCGTATAGCTATGGCGGCATCTAGTGGCCAAAAGGAGCAATTGGAACAAAAATCTACAAATCCAGGAAGTTTAACACTATAGGTAGTCCTCAGTTAATGAAAGTAATCCGGACTGGAATTTTCATTGCTAACCAATGCAGTCTAACAGATTTAACAGATTAACAGAGTTGGAAGGGACCTTGTAGGTCATCTAGTCCAACCCCCAACCCAAGCAGGAGACCCTACACCATTTCTGACAAATGGCAGTCCAATCTCTTCTTGAAAGCCTCCAGTGATGAAGTTCCCACAACTTCCAAAGGCAAGCTGTTCCATTGGTTGATTGTTCTCACTGTCAGAAAATTTCTCCTTATTTCTAGGATGAATTTCTCCTTGATAAGTTTCCATCCATTATTCCTTGTCTGGCTTTCGGGTGCTTTGGAAAATGGCTTGACTTCCTCCTCTCTGTGGTAGCCCCTCAAATATTGGAACACTGCTATCATGTCTGCCCTGGTCCTTCTCTTCACTAGACTAGCCATGCCCAGTTCCTGTAACCGTTCTTCATATGTTTTAGTCTCCAGTCCCTTAATCATCTTGATTAGTCCCCTAATGATCTAATCATAAAGAATGATGTCACATGACCACACCACTTAGCGACAGCAGTTCCAGCACTTCTGGCTCTGTCATTAAGGGAACCCCCACCCTTGTTAAATGCAACATTCAAGGTTGACTTGGCCTTCCATCCTTTCGAGGTAGGTAAAATGAGGACCCGGATTGTGAGGGCAATAAGCTGACTCTGTATATTAAAAAAAAGCACCACTTAGGGGGGCGAAAGCCCTACTAAGCAGGTATATACAAAAGTATGAAGTCTATTGCTTAATGCATTGTAAGCCGCCCTGAGTCTCCGGAGAAGGGCTGCATATAAATCGAACCAATAAATAAATAAATAAATAAACAAACAAACAAACATTACGTGGTTGCCACATGTTGTAATTCTGAGCTGTTCGCTGAGCACCTGGATCATGAAAATGGGACCAGGGAAACACTACAAAGGAACGGTTGGTTATATGTTCTACTTGTTCAGCACAATTGTAAGTTCTAACAGTCACTGAAGGAGTAGCTATTAAGCAAGAATTATTTGTACTTTTCCCAGAAAAGATGGCAAATGCAGTACACAATTTAATCTGTATCTCTTTAATAATGAAGTTTAGGTGAAACTCAAGATCATATTCTGGGTCATCAAACTACAGGCTAAGGAACAGTCTTCTCTCCCTTAATATCCAGCCTGGCTGGCAAAACATTAATCCGCTGTAAAGCTTTTCTAAAGCTTCGTCTTCATCTTGAGGGAATCTAAAGAGTAAATGGTTATTTACTCTTTAGTTATATTAAATAAATAAATGGGATTTTCTGGCAGAAAAATGTAAACAACATTTTGGCTTTGGCTGTTCAACACCACAGACCAGAGGTTGTGGAGTGTACACGACCATTACATATCTTTAATGCTGGGAGTTACAAGATATAAAATATGAGATATAGAGAGATATGGTGGCACCTTTATATGATTAAGTTTTCTATTAAATATAAAATAGGAGAGTCCGTTTGGTGTAATAGTTAAGGCAATTAGAAACCAAGAGACTCTGAGGGTGTTTTTCAAACTTGGCAACTTTAAGATGTGTGGACTTCAACTCCCAGAATCCTTCAGCCAGTTAAAGGAATCGTCAGTTGAAATGCAGAAAACTGCACGGATAAAATTGCGCACGGGTTCTTTAAGGCAAAGCACGTGATGGCCCGTGCCTCAAAAGAGGAAGTCGATGGGGAAAATTGGGGAATTGGTGAAGATATTTTCTCTCTTGTGTTTTTAAAAGGACAGCGATTGCTTTGCGTAAGGCTGTTGTTGTCGAGAGTATTCTATAAAGGTCAGGATTTATTGAAAATGAGTTGGGTAGATTAAAGCTGCTTACAATTTGGAAGATCTTGCCGGGAAGGGTAAGTAGTTGGAAAGACAATACAAATTAAATCCGAACAAAATGGGCGGGAATAGAAGCGTTAAATTCAAAAACCTTTTTGTATATCTCATTGGCTGGATTTATACCTTGTCCCAAAAGTAAAATCTAAAAGGAGACAAAAGGCAGCATGGCGTAGCTTGCTACCAATTTTTTTTGTAGCGCTTGCTGTTTAAAAAAAAGTTGAGAATGATTTTTACTCTCCTACCTTTTAGGCAGAAAAAGAGAAAGCTTCTTACAAACTTAAAAGTCTAATTCCTAGTGTAATTAAAGCTAGGGGAGATCTTAGGAAATGCTCACACATCTTTAGGATAAACAAGATTTTACATTCTTTTCAAAGTTAAACTGTACTGCTGCTGCACGTGGAGCAAAACCCATACACAATTGCGCCTTAGCCTTTCAAGCTCACACGTTGCCAGCAACAAGAGAATCGAGAATCTGGTGACTTGCATTTAGTAGATTATTACAGCAGTGATGCTTACATGCCTATACTGGGACAATGAGACAAACTCAATACACTGAAGTTTATTTGCATGTACTCTAAATGTGAAAAATAACAAAAATTATCTTCTTAAACTACTTGCATTTTCAGTTCTTTTATTTGTTCAGTATATCTGGGGACTGTTCTTTGTATTTGGGGGTGAGTGAAGAATTCGCAGATACTTTTATTGTATCACAATAAAAAAAATAAGCTTAATAAAATAACTTTCACTGTTGGGCCAAAGCGAATTCTTGGTTGTTGTGTAAGTTCTCTGCCTGTAGCCACTTTTCCAGATATTGCAAACCGTCTATGAAATCTCTAGGGGTAAATGTTATTGCCTCCTGTGCAATTTATAAGTGGCCCATGGAAGGAGGTCTGAGAAAATAAGGCAGTTCCAAGTACTGCATTTATTGGTTACAACCTCCAAAATCAAATTGTGCAAAAGCAAGTCACATTCCTTTAACTTACTAGATATAGGAATACCTTTGCTACTTGCACATATTTTTCTCAAACTTCATGGCAGCTTAAAGTAGCTTTTCTAGCATTATTAAATAGCATTTTATAAATCATGTTTGATATTGAAACATATATAATTTTTTTTTATTTGTAAATCTATAGCACGATAGGTTGCATACCTGAGTATAGATGTAGATGAATTATATGGTAAATATTAATTCAAACCTGTTTTCCTCCCAATAGGATTATCAAAAAACTGAAAAACAGATCTTGCTACAGTAGGTATCTTATAAACATCAAACAAGATTTCCTTTCAACATGCCCTTTACAGAGCAATTTTAAATATCTAAGTTTACCATAGAATCACCACATTGTTACATTTGTTATATAACTTTTTCATATTATAGTTGATGAACTTCCACACATATATTCAACATTTTCACTTGTTATTGCATTGAAAAATGCAGTATTGTGACAATACTTTCAAAGAATCTAGGGCCTCTGTTGTGTACTTCTAAATCAAAATCAAACAAATGCCTTTATAATTTGATTTGATACATAAACTCAGCATATTCGAGTACCTTTCCACTTTTCACACTTATGTGAACCTATTTAAACGTTCTTCAATTAAAATATATTATCATCAAATAATACATGCTGCCTTGGACCCAATTCTATTAATACTTAAAAACATGGTGGCTTGCTTTGAGAATTGTCTTGTTTTTGTATGAAACGGTTCAAAGTTTCATTTCTAAATTATAATTTAAACTATCACAACTGTCATTTTGTTCTTAGGCATAACAAGGCAGTTGAAAAAAATTCCATAAAAACATGTCTGTTCCTGAAACATTGCTGTTTGATGATCACAGAACTATGTGGATGATGGATATTAGCATTATTATGTTACAATTATTTCAATACAATTTTTTATTATTAGCTGTTTGAGAGCTAAGGAAGAAGACATAATTGAGCTATAATAGGTGCCTTTTAAAGAACTGAAGGCATTTTTGAATAATTAAGAAGGAACATGCCACCTCAAGATGCTATTCCCAGTAATTTAATCTGAAAGATTAACTAGTTTTAAAATTAAATTAAATCAGTTTTATCCCTAGAAATTTAAATAGTGATATTTGGATGAAATGTGGGCTGAATGATCTTTGATGTAAGAATTCCAGCATCTTAAAAAAAAAAAAAAAAAACCAAGTATTGGTCTATTAGCCATTGTTCAGATCTATTACCCACAAAGCAGATTATTCTATATAATTATAAAACACAAATACAAATGTCATAACCTGGATGACTGAAAATATCCATAGACACAAATATAAATGAAATTTGATTCAATTTTTCTTGTTTATCTTTTGTGAGTTAAAAATTCACAGTACATCTTTTGAAAGCATGTTTATTAACATTTCAATAAATAAATCAGTCTCTACCTTGAAGAAAAATGGAGGAAAAAATAGAATCCAGCCTAAATTCCATTGCCAGCAACGGACAAAGGTTAATAAATAGTGCTTGTCTATTAAAAATCTTAAAGTGTATGGCAGTACAGACTGAAGATAAGAAGGCTAATAAGGCTAATAATAATAGGGCTTCAAGACAAGTTTATGGTACCAAAGTCCTAGACTGTGCCACTTCCAAATCTCTGATTGCATTTTCTACCTCAGAATTCCCTTCATACTGAAAAAACTAAACTGGATTAGAAACATCCTTGCATGTCATCAAAAACAATAATTGAATCCAGGAAGATTCTGAATTTTATAATAGTTCAGCCCCTGAACTATGTAATTCTGAATTCTAAAAAGTACAGATCAGACTATAGTATCATTTTCTAAACATGCTACCTGAATAGAATATTAGAAGCTTAATGTACAACCCTTAATAATTCTTCACAGAAGAAAATAAGGCCTTCTATATGGCCTTTGGTATATTGTTTTCTCATCAAAAATAGTGATATTGCATTTAGAACAGAATTGTCTAATTTTACTGTGTTTCCCCAAAAATATGACATGTCTTGAAAATAAGGCCAAGCCTGATTTTTTTTGGGGGGGGGGCATATTCACCCTCCCCCGAAAATAAGCCCTAGTGAAGAGGTGGGCATGGCTAGCACAGGATGCAGCCCTTTACTTCCCTGGTCAGCTAATGGCTGCAGGGCCCCTTAATCGCAACCCACAGATCAGCTGAGCTTATTGGGAACTGCCTCTCTGTTCTATCTCTCCCCAGTGTTGCTGGCACTTACCCGCCTCCCATCCATCCCCCTTGCCTGCAAATTCCCACCCCACTCGCAAGAGCAGCCGCCTGGTACCTCTTGCCATGTAGTGCCCACCCAGCGGAGAACCCCCCCCTCTGGCCAGTCAGAGTGCCACTCACAGACTGAGAGGTAAGAGACTGGTCAGGCCAGCCGCCTGCTGCTGAGTCTTCCAGGAGCCAAGGCAGGAGAGTCTTCTGGCAGTGGCCGCTCTGTGAGTGCGCTTCCCACTCTATGATTCCAGCTCCATGCGGGGCTGCAGCTGCCTCTCTGCCCCGGCTGCCAGAAGACACGGCAGCAGGCGGCTGGCCCGACTGGTCTCTTCTCCACTTCCAGCCGGGATTTATGTCTTGTGGCCCGCCCCATCTGCCACCTCCAAATTGCGCCCTGCCACAAGATGCGCATCTTACTGGAGACTGGCAGCTCCATCGCATCTCTCGGCTGGTCTGTGCAGGGAAACACCTTGCACAGTAAAGAAAAACTTCTTGCGAGTACGAGCAATTTGTGAGAAGTTTTTCTTGACCGTGCAAGGTGTTTCCCTGCAGAGACTGGCCAAAACGTGACAGAGCTGCCAGTCTCTGGCGAGACTCGTGGCCCGCCCCGCCCCACCTGCCACCCCCAAATTGCACCCCACTGTGAGACAAGCATCTTACCGGAGACTGGCAGCTCCATCACGTTCCCTGCCATTATGTCCAGGGAAACACATAAAAAAACCCTAGTGAGTTTGAGAAGTTTAATTGAACTTGCAAGGTTTTTTTTACGTGTTTCCCTGGACACAACGGCAAGGAATGTGATGGAGGTGGAAAGGTAAGATGCGCGTCTTGCTTCTCACCCGCCCCACCTGCCAGAAATGAGTCTTTGTGAGACTCGTCCCGCCACTGCCTCGTGGAGCAGGGCTCTGCAAGGCTTGTGCTGTTGCATGCATGAACAGCAGCACTACCGCGAGGTTCGACATACCAGTGCAGCCATGAGCTGCAGGACACCAGCTCTGCCGGTATGATGAAGTTTGCAGCGATGCTGCAGTTCGTGCATGCAAGGCACAACAAGCCACGAGACGGAGGCGGGACACACCAGGGCAGCACCACCAGCTGCTTGGCTGGCGCGAAGAACAGGGAGGGGAGGCACTGGTGGCGATAGGACATCCAGTTCGACGCTCGCCACCTCCTGCAAATAATAAGAACCCCCCTGATAATAAGGCTACACCCTTATTTTGGGGGTCAAAAGAAAATAAGGCTGTCTTATTTTCGGGGAAACACGGTAGAAAATCTATTGATTTCATTTTATGAAAGTGAGATGCATCAGTATTGCTTTTCTTTTGGCTCTTGTTTCTTGGTTTCTGTTGCATCAGGCCACAGAATCCTTTGAGATCCATGAGGAATCAAAAAAGTGACAGAAATTAATTATTTCAACAAAGTGGTAGAATAAAAAAAAATCCTGAATTACCCTCATACTCGCTTCCAAAATTCTTCAAAAAGAACTGGGCCACTTAAGGCCATGCACATCTTATGATTAAAATTGGTGTCAGAGAAATAAATCAACATGTACAATGACAGTGCTTTACAATTAAGTGAGCGTATATAGCAGTTAATATACAACAAATACATTTCCATCTTTAAGGAAAAAAAACCATAATTACATAAACAAGCTAACAAATTATGAATTTAATTCTGGTGCTCTTCTAATTCAGGTTAGCTTCTTCGGTGCATTTTTGCGGAGTTTTAGAATCCTGAAACGTTTCTGCAAATCTTTCTCTCGCTTTTTCCCAGTTCCTTTTATTTTTGGTACTGATGATCTGAATCTCTTCAGCAGAAATAGGCATACTTGCACCTAAGCCTGCATGCTTTCTGTGTAACTGAAGTTTGATCTGTTAAACATTAAATTTTTATAAATTAAATTCAGGAAATATGCATTCTATAATTTTAATTATGTTTTTAGGCATGGAAAAACACTGTTGTGTGCAGAACCTGAAATAATGTTCTTATTACTTTGCTAAAATATTAAGGTACTGTTGGTGTGTATTCATGCTTTGCATATACAAGTCCATCTGTCTTTTGGGGCACTAAAACACCCAAAATGGCCAATGGGAAAATATAATAACATATAGTTTCTTCTTCTGATATAGTTTGTTCTTCTGGCTACATTCTAAAAATATATTAAGGCTACAGAGAGAGAGGGAGGAAGATGGGGAAGTCACACTCCATAGTACACTTAGATTTTATCAAGTATATTACAAGATCAGACATTAATCGAGAAATTTCCAGTATATTCAAGTGTGTTTAAGACTAATTTGTTTTAACAAAACAAGTAAATATGCCATGTCAAATTTCAAGTGTATGTTTCAATCTAGTAGACTACTAGTTCACCATTTAATTTTATCATACTATAGGACCTCTGGTCACAAACGTTTCTGACCATGACCAAATCAGGTTCCGCCCAAAAAATTCACCCTCCCCCCATTCCCTCCCCCCCAGCTGATTTCCCTTTCTGCACCATTTTTTTGTAAGCACCAAATTTCCAAAATTAGGTTTGGGTCATGACTAAATCGAGTTGTGACCAAAGTTATGGAACTAATTATGGTCGTGACCAGAGGTTCTACTGTACATGGGAAACTTTTCAATTTTCTTAGACAACTTAATTAAGCCTAATGTGAGTTTGGCAGCCACCATTCAGACACTAACATTTAATTCCCAGTTTCCCTCCTAAATTATCAGATCTGAAAAACTGAACTTATCACCTCTGACAAAAGCTCTTACAGTTTGAAAGACTTTTTCCAAATTTAATCATCCTTGTGTCTTACTGCTGTTTCAGACCAGATTTCTTAATTTCTTAACCCTGTTGCATATCATGTTAGCAAGACAGCCATGCGTATCATGCATGCATATCATGTTTCTTAGGCTTGTTAGTAAGCAGTAAAAATGAAAAGGTCACTGAGAAATTTGAATTTGTTTGCTTTATCAGTTCCAGTAAACATATTACAGTGCAGAAACTATATCCTTGCAAATACAATTTCATATGACATCTGTGCCTAGAACCCTTTGCTTTTAAAACAAAACTTTGCATTTTGTCAAAAACGGCAAGTTATTCCAATGCCATATGCCTGTGTGTAGGATTGTGCAAAACATTTGAAAGAGGTATTTTGCAAAGCAAACAATCATGTATAAAGTCAACTTTTCAATTACTGAAACATAATATATTTTAAAAGATTCACACAGATGCCTCTGCATGTATACAAATGCACAGCTACTTTACTACAGCTGTTCGCAGGCTGATTGGAGATAGCTGCACCAACCTTACAAAAAATGTAGCTTTTGTTTTAATGATTGAATATATGCTTTGCTATTGTTTCTGCACATTGTAAAAGCATCTCATTGGAATGATTTGCTCATCCATACTACATTGTCAGGATGGTCAGTTCCCAATCACAAATATTTTAATACTGTAGTAGTAGGGATTACAAAATGTTGCATGCATGGAACAAGCAATACTTGTCCAAAGCACGTGTGTTATGTTCAGGCAGAGACTAGAATATTCATTCTGGGTCTGTGCCTGAACATAACATAACATTCTGAGCAGAGCTGTTCTGGTATGGGAAACCGAGGAGAAAATGCAAAACCATCAATATTTGCATACTGCAGCAGTAAAGTGCATGTAATGGAGAATAAGGTGATGAAAAGATGGGATGGAGAGCAAGTGGGTAAGGTTGGGGGTGCCATACACTACAGCAGTGACAGGGAAAGAAGGGAAAGAAAGGCACTAGACAACAGAGGAGGGACAGGTGGGCTCTGGCAGGAGACTGGTAGCCACGGGTGAAGGAGGGTGCTGGGAGATCATGAAGAGGGGTGGAGGGCAGCAGGTATCTTGCACCTGAATGTACATGTGGCAGCAGAAAGGAGATAAGCCGAGCACATGAGCACAGGGAACAGGATGGGCAAGACATCATATTCTACTTGCTTGTAAAACCCTTAAAATTTTCCCAGATGAAACCAGAAGCAATTAAAATGCTTATTAGAGTTTCAGCCTGGATAAATCATGACCTGCTCAGAATTGGCCAACTGAATTTCTGAACTTCTTGTTGGCAGATATAGAGGCTTAGCAGAACCTGAATAAGCAGCAGCAAATCTTAGGCTCTTCTCCAAGGGAATTGTGATGGCAGAAATTATGTGCCTCTGATAACCCTAAGTAACTAGAGAATTATACACCCAAGGTTCTTCGGGGCTAAAATCTAGTTTGCATTAGGTCCTAAGTGGTTATAACTATCCTTACTTAACAACCTTAATTGGGACCAGCAATTCCAGAGTTAAGCAAAGCAGATGGCTAAATGGGAAATCACGTGACTGCAACTGTGCTTTCTGTTTGGAAAGACAAAACTAGGCAGTTTCACACTTTCAGCTTTTGTTTGCTTCCCACCCATTCCTCTGCCCTTTGGAAAGGACAGTGGCCGCTTACTGTCTTATACACATTGAAAACAATGCAATGGTGCCAGCAGCCCAGGCAGAGAGCCACAGGCTTGCTACACAAACAACTCATAGTACTCTTTAAATCCCTTCTCCAATGTCTCCATTATGTGAGGGGATGGGGGAAAAGCAAGCACTTTCTGAAGGCAGTCCTTTCCCAGAACTTTCCCCATTTGTAGAAGTGGAGAGATTGGAGAGGGATTTCAAGAGGGTACCATAAGCTATTTCCCTAGTGTACCTGTAGCTCTCAACTCCAGGCTGCTGGTGGGATTGCTTTGCTTTCAGGGGATAGAAGAATAAATTGCTTACTCTCTTGCAGTCCCTTTCTTTCTGCACTGCAAGGAGCTAAAAAATGAAAAAACCCACAGGTCCGGTACAGGATACTGACTATAATGGTGATCATGTGACTGCGGGTTGTAAATAGTCTTAAATTGGCCATAAAGTTATTTTTGCAGCACCACTGTACTTCAAATGGTCACTGAGCAAGTGGTCAGTAAGTGAGGACTACTTGTAATGACTTTTTATGTAATTCAAAAATTAATTATGATAGATTTATCAATCAGATTATATATCTAATAACTGTCAAACAGTTGATTGCATTTTGATTGGAGAAGAAAAACCTGAAATGATACATGATTGTTATCTTGAAGTATGTAAAGGACTATCATATAGAAGGCAAGGCAGAATTATTCAGACTCCTCCAGAAAACAGCATAAAAAAACCTAAAAGGTTTAAATGACAAGGAAGCAGATTTAATTGGACACCAAGAAAAAGTCTTAAGGGTAAGAATTAAACAATGGAACAGGCTGCCTCAGGAGATGATGAGCTGCCCTTTACTGGAGGTTGGCCATGTGCTGTTCCAGATGTGATGGTGCTGGTTTCTTGCACTTGGGAAGGGTTTGGAGGTCCTTTTCAACTAATGATATCCACCTTTTTTGGTATACAGAACACCTGTGTGTGCTCAGAAATCCATATAGTAAGTCTGCAGAGGTTTGCAAGACAAGTGTGTCCTACAGCACGGCACAAGTATACTTAAATTCTACTTATTTTAACAGGGTTCTTTTTTGATAAACAGAATTAAGATATTATTTATATGGGATTGCTCACTGAAAAAAAAAAAATACCTACCGGATCTTTTATTCCACCACCACTTTTTCCAAGTCCTTCTCCTTTCTTCCATCCCATCTTCTCCAATAGTTTGTGTCCTTTGTTATTCTCACTAATTTCCCTTCAAACGTAAAACAGCAAATATGGAAAAGAGGAGTTGGAACAATAATTGTTTAAATTTTTCAATAATGGAAGATACTGGGGTTATATTTTAATACTTATTTTGACAATATATTTATATAAAATATGCCTTCTTATGCAAGGAAATATCTCTGAATACCAAAGCTAACATACAACTACGACCAAAATACCTCACCAGCAATCTACATCCAGATGAACAGAGATTAACACCAAGATTAACATTAAAGTAGCAATCAAGAAGCAATAGCCCAATCAAGGAACTGCCAAACAAGCTAACAGTAACCAGCTCAACCAAGAGCATTCCCATCAACACGGACAGGGCAAGCCAGTAGAATATAGAATGAGAGCAAATCCCATTCCCTACAGTATTGATGATGTTACCTAATTTGGGTAATAAAAACAAGGAAAAAACTCAGCTCAGAGAGCATCAAGAACACTTCATATAACTATAGAAATTTAAACAAATAAATAAAATAAATAAATAAACTATGATATTTTGCAGTGTCTATTATTCTGATCATATTATACCAATCCTGACTTCCAATTAATGTAGATGTCAAATTCTTATCAAACCCAATTTAAAGTGCTTGTCTCTTACCATAATTTTAATGTATTTTAATCTTCGCTGTGATTACAACATTGGTTGTTTTGACTTATTTTAATCAATATTTGTAATGTGCCAAATTATTTTAATTTTTTAAAGAAAATTGAATCTATGCAGTATTGTATATTAATGCAATACCTTCTAATTATGTAAAATAAAAGAAACCAACCAACTTACACATGTATAGAGGCTGGAGCATCATCTTTATAAAAGTTCCCTTCACTTCCAACTGTTTCACGGCGCTTTCCTGCTCTGTCTTTGTAATTCGGATTTTTCATAACCTTATCAACTTCATATTCTGTATTCTTTAAAAAACAAAAATAAATCTCATAAATTAAGTGTACTTTTAAAATCTTAGTTTTATATATATATTGCTACAGGAAAGTGCAGTAAAAATAATGGGGCTTGAAAGATCTTAAAAAACAGACTGAGTTATTTATATTCTTTTAATTTAGAAAGAAATGACTAGGAGGGATAGAAAATAGTACAGGCTCATAAAGTATGCATAATAAATAGAATACAACAGAACAGAACAGAATTTTTTATTGGCCAAGTGTGATTGGACACACACGGAATTTGTCTTTGGTGCATGTGCTCTCAGTGTACTTAAAAGGAAAAGAAAAAAAATACATTCATCAAGAATCATTAAGATACAATACTTAGTGATAGTCATAGGTTACTAATAAGCAATCAAATCATATTAGGAAACAAACAACAATATAAATTGTAAAAATACAAGCAACATGGTTATAGTCATAAGTGGGAGGAGATAGGTAATAGGAAGGATGAGAAGAATAATAGTAATAAAATCTTAGTAAATAGTTTGACAGACTTTGCTTGTCAGAAGCCAGCTGGGAAGGTTAGAAATGGCAATCACATGACACCTGGAACAGTGTAAGTCATAAATACATGCCAGTTGTCAAGCGTCCAAATTCTGATCATGTGACCATGCTGCTTTAGTCATAAGTGTGAAAACCAGCCATGTCACTTTTTTCAATGCTGTTGTAACTTCCAACGGTCTCTAAATGAATTGTTAAGTCAAAAACAACCTGTACACCCACATAGTTGTCAAAACCCCACTTATTTGTGGGTTTTTGACAAGGAGCTCATTACCTGCAATAGGAGCTAGGTGTTGGATTAGAAGGGTCTCTTGATTTTATCCAGTAGGTCTGCTTTTATATTCTTAAGTTACTATAAAAATGAACCCCTTTAAAAGGCAATATTATGTTTACAATGGTGGTGTTAGAGCCTTTGCCTGTGGTCTAATCAGGCAAAAAAAAAAACACTCCTATAAATTTGTGTTAAATGCTCACATAATCCATAAATGGGGCATAATTCATGCATTTATACCCTGCCTTTTCTTTGGAAGTGCAGGGCAGTATATCCCCATGACACATAAAATAGCTTGGGTGAGAGAGAATGACTAATTCAAAATTACTAAATGCGTTCCATGATTGAATAAAGACGAGCTAATGTCTCCACCATTTCAATCCAGTATGGTATCCTGATTCTTATTTGTAGTACATCTCATTCTGTATTACAGACCTTGATAACTATCATAATTGAGGAATATCGGAATAGACTAGAGTCCAAATGCTTAAAAAAAGTTCCAAAATGCATTATCAATTAGGAATACATTTAAAAATAAATCTACCTGTAAACCATATTTTACACGTATTTGTTTTAATTCTTTTCTTCTAACTAATTCCTTTTCTTCTTTTGTCAATGCAGGAACAACTGAAATACAAAGGATTTCATCAAGTAACGAAATCAGTAACTTACTGCATGTAGATAGGAATTAAATTAGCCACGTTAGACTTACACCAATCTACCTCATAGTACCTTCAAGACTAACCAACATTAATGCGTGAGCATTCGCAAGCAGGAGCTCACTCTCTCAGATGTTTAGAATGGGCATGATTTTAATTGTAGAGACTGAGAGGAAGAGGTTGAGTACCTTATCAATTAGCAAATGGAAAAGGATAAGAACATTTGTTATTTGCTAAAAACACTCACTGTATTTAAAGTCCTATAAGAACAAACTATTCTATGCATCCAATGAACTATTGCTCACAAAGGTTTAAGCCCTAATGAAATTAGCTAGCTTTAAAAACACTTCCAAATTCACCTAACACAATCTTCCCCTTCCATTATAAAACCTGTGAAGGAGCTTAAGTTATTTACTATTTCTGATTTAATTTATTTCTGCCGATGAAAGACTAAGTTTTTATGTTCAATTGAGATGAACAGGATACAAGTGCATATTCTTTTAATTGTCAGGTGACTATCTACACAGGACAGCAGTATCCTATCTAACACTATACTTTTTAGCTTCTAACACTTGATACTTTTTAGCTTCACTTATAACTGAAGATGGTAATAAAGGAGTAATAACCTCATTATACAGACTATTGATTATCTAAATTCTTGTACTTGTATTACTGTGTAGTAATTGGGTTGGGTAGACTGGTAGATGAACTCCTGTACACTTTTTTTGCAATTCCCAGAACAACAGAAATCATGGTATCAAAATTCAGCAGTAAGCAGAGACATTATTTCTAGCCAATTTTCATCATCAAACAAAATATAAAGTATGTCTGAGAATAGGACTAATATTAAGAAGCAGCCTATCACCATGATGGAAAAACCTATGGCATGCATGCTGGAAGTGGCACGCAGAGCCATTGCCCGTTGCTCTTCCGGGTTCTGGCGTGCCAGCCAGCTGGTCTTCACACATGCGGGAGCACCGGAAACCAGAAGAGCAGCTGGCCGGTGTGCATGCCGGGAAGATGATCTTCCGGTTTCTGGCACACGCATGCCCACCAGCCAGTTGGTGATAGTGCACACATGCGCGCAATAAACCGGAAGACTAGATGGCTGGTATGCACCGTAAACCGGAAGAGCAGCTGCCCAGCATGTGCATGTGCACTGGGTGGCTGCTCTTCCGGTTTCTGGCACGCATGCACGTACACTCCCATTTAGGTTCTCTACCACTGGCCTATCACTTGGAAAAAACATATGTAAAATTCCAAAATCCAGTCCTACCCATAACATTCTGCATAATTACCCAGATTGTTGTGGTTCTTAGTCATCCCCACAAAAATGTAGCCCTCCCCCTGAATGCAGAAATAAATATTGTCTTGAGCTATCTGTGAAGTTAATCTTATGCTAAACTGAGCACTGAGAGTGGTTAATCCAATTAGAAAGGAGGCAAAGAACTGTGTTTTCCTCTAATATAGCTAGGATGAGATCAGATATAGCATAAGAGCTGTCAATTGACTAAAAGGTATAAATATATGTCTATATATTCTGCATCCTGAATTGAGAGAGAATTTGAGACTCTAAACTTAAAACAGAGATGAAAAAACTTAAGTTTGAAAACTTTCAGTTCTTGAATTCAGGCTGCTTAATATGGCTAAGACCATTAGCGTACATCATTAGACAAACACCATTAGGTTGAATATTTTTGTGCATTAAAAACACAAAAAGTTTCAGTATTGAAAAGATCCATCTGCTTTTTTAAATATTAAGAATTTTCAGCAAATCTCAGTAAATGCTAAACATCAGCATTTTCAATGGTCTGAAAAGTATACATCTTATAAATCTAATTTATTAAATAAACTCATTCTCTTCTTTATCTTAAGACTCTAACCATGCAACCTTCATGACTTCAACTTTCTATTATTCTCTTTCTATCCTATCTGAGTTTTATAATATATTGCCTCATAAAAAGATCTTGAATGTTTCCTAACATATTCACATATGATCCACATATCTATGTCTAAGAGTTTTTGAGGTTGACTTACTGATTTTACTTAATTTACTTACCGATTTTTTTTGGTGAGCTATGTTAAACTTAACTATACAATATTATTTTCAATATAATATTTTGTTTAAACTTTTCCTTAGAAGTTAACCTTAATATTTCATTACTTACTAGAAGATTCATTTTTCTTATCAAGGCGAAGATGAGCTCTGACTTGTCCTGGTTCACATCCATCACAAGTTTCACTACCAGGATGTATATGAAAAGATAGTACAGTTTCTCCAATCTTCACTTCATCACCGTGTTCCAGAACATGGGGCTCACTTTTTGTTTTAGGCTGTAAATAAATTAACACAAGAACTAGAAAGCAGAAAATTAAATGCTAACAAAAGAGCCTGGGACCATTACTTCAGAGAGAAAGGTACAGGGAGTGTGGCATGTGATACAGCAAAAACATGCATTTAGCAGTGTCACAGCTGAGCAGAAAGGATAGAGAAGTGGCCATTTGAAGTGCTGGGCAAAGGCAGGGGTCAACAAAATCAGCCAAGAACAGGTCTCATTGTTATACTCACCTGAAGAATTTGGTTTCCATTAACCACAGTGCCATTCTGACTGCCTTGGTCCACAAGAACATAACTTTGCAATTCATGATCAAAGTATACTTCCACGTGGAACTAACAGAAAAATCAAATATTTTGATAGCAAGTACATAAATATTGTAAAGCATTTAAAATGTAATAAATCAATTTTTTCTACTGTAATCATCTTTACAATTCCATAAAAATCCTTAAAGAATAAACTACCTTGCTGACCGAGGCCTCTGGGATCTGCAAAGTATGTTCCATCCCTTTCTCTCTGTAAAAATTAGTAATTGTTAAAGTCTGGGGATACATGGCACACAAATTCACTCAGAAGCAAGACTAGCCTCAGCAGTCCATGGCAGACTTGAGTTCACTGGCAGAATCCCTCATTAGTGATTAGGTCAGCATTCCTTTAATTGCCTGATGGAAGCCTTTGGGTTACCAGAGGCACACTTTTTAAGAATTACCTTTTGAAAGCTGTAAGAACACTAGACACACAACTCTTTGAATTTTGAGGCTAAAATTATTTTTAGTAAAATAGTACCTTTCATATTAGAAAAGTTGAATGCTGATCTTTTAGTACTTTTTTATTTGGCTAAATAATGAACAGTATATCCTGGTTCCATCAAAATGGGCTTAGACAAGCCCTCTAAAGGTTGCCCGAAATTGATTCTTTTTTATTTCCCCACTTCACTGCGGAGCATTTGAATCTAGTTATTTTCATAACTTTCTACAAAGCCCTAGTGTAAATTGAATTAAATAGTAATTTCCTCCAGTATTGCTAGAAATGCCCATTAGGACACAGTTATTGCCAATATTATCCAGAGACATCAGTCAATTTAGAAGGGATTATTATTAGAAAGGAGCAGGGTTCAGATAGTCACCTACACACACACAAAAAATGCTGGTTTTCTCATATCCAGCAGACCAGATTCAAGAGTCCATCAAAATGCCTTATAATGAGATGATAAACTAAGAGAAAAAGTGGAATTTACAAAAAAGAAGAAAAAATCCCAACCCCCAATGGATGCAAATGCCTTTAATGCAAGGATAGAAGTCTCTACCTAAGTAGCAATAAGGAAAGAAAAAAGGAGAAATGTGGACATAACTTGAGGACATCTTTCTTCACCTGTATCTCTTCAGTGCTCTTCCTACATATATAGTTACATATACATGCATCTGTTTTTGTGTATGTAATGAAAAAAAAATCTAATTTACTTGTTTTAAAAATGGTAAATCAGTACATTCATTATAATCAATACTTATACAAGATGAATTCAAAATGAAGTCTTAATTAAAGATGATCATTAAAAATATTACAAATATGAATAAACAGGATGGAATTAATGAGGAAATCTAGACATTAACAATTGTGTGGTACCTTCCAATTGTGGCAGGTTTCACAGCTGTGATGATATACAGAGACCCCATCTGCAGTACTGGTGATCTAATTACGATCACTCTGATACAAGGTGGCCAGATCTTGTCTTCATCTAAATAAATAAATCAATATCAGGCTAAGAAAGACAAACTTTCCTGTATTATGCAATCTGCATCTCCCGAAGAGAATTAGAAAGCACATTTGATTTTCAGCCATTATATATCTGGAAGCAATATATAAAATGTGCAAAAACTATGTAAAAATTGAAGTATGAATAATGCAACCATATCTACAAGTGAAAAATTGGCAAACTTATTTTCTCAAGGTGTAGCCATTAAAGATCAATGTTAATCAAGGTAACCCTTGATCTTGGTTACATGCATATCAAGGTAACCCTACCTTGGTTACATGCATATATGGGAAAAAATATAGCATTACTACAGTTAAAATAATCTTAGAGTAACCAAAGCAAAATTCAGACGCTTGGCAACTGACTCATATTTATGATGGTTGCAGTGTCTTGGGATCATGTGATCATCTTTTGCAACATTCTGATAGCAAAATCAATGGGGAAGCCAGATTCACTTAACAACCATGTTACTAACTTAACAACAGTGATTCACTTGACAACTATGGCAGTAAAGGCCATACAATGGGCCAAAATTCACAAGTGTTTTGCAACAGAAATTTTGAGCTCAATTGTGATTGTAAATTGAGGAATACCTCGGTTGTCTATTTTTCTGGAGCAGTCTGGAACAAAGCAGAAGTGATACTTTTTCTCAGCAGTAGACTAAATGTTATTGAACATTTTGTGAACTTTAAGTACTTTTTAAAGAGAATTACCATCTTAATAACTTATTGATATCAATAAGCCTCTTATATCCACATGTAAAAATAGTTTTTCTGAACATGTGTTTTCAAGTCTGTTTACTTTTTTCTATCAGTATAAACAACAATGTGCACAGTAAGTTTTTACCTGATATATTTTTCTAATTATAGATCATACTTAACTGCAATATTCATAAGCAAGATATTGGGTTATATACTTCACTGAAGAACCTGATTTAGACAGTTTTGCATTCAAATGTGTATACTTCAACTTTCTGACAATTATTTTTTATCATTCCCAATCTGCAAATATTATTCCTAAATATCCTTCATAAAAACCTTCACCTTCACTGTCCACATCTTCTGAATTTACAGTTTCTTCACTTGTCACTTCATTTTCACTGCTATATTCCTCCTGTTCGGTGTCTGTGATTTCACCTTCTTCTGGCTCACTTTCTGTATCTGTTTTACTGTCTTCTGTACTAGCAGTAAACTCTGCGTTTATACTACTTCCGTTGGCAGTAACTGATTCCTTAGTCTGTTGAGTGTTTCTAGTATCAATATCCACTTTAGCCTTTTTCACATCTGGACATTCTTCCTCTCCTGGAGAACTTGGTTCATTAGGGGCAAAAATGCAATTCAGATTGCTAGATGATTTTTGCTCCTCTGTGTTCAGATTCTGAAGATTTATAGAAAAAGGAATGTAGTTAAGTTTTAAAATTAGTGTGTGTGTGTTTGTGTGTACACATACGGACAGTATATAGCAGGATAATGAGAAATAACTGATCGCTTTTACAATTATGGCAAAATATAATGGTTGCATTCCCTTACTACTCTCAACACTTTTTTTTTCTTTTTTAAACAAATTGTGCCTTACACTTGGGGATGTCACTTTCCTCCTAGCCTTTTGCCCCTAATGCATTTCCTACATTTTCCTTTAGTTCAGTAGTCTGTTAGAATAAACAGCTGGCCAACTAAGCATCATTTCCAAATTCTGTCAATAAACCTAGGAAAAACAGTTAGACTTTGTCTTCTCAAAAATAACTTTTAATTTCTCTTCTTAGGAAAAAAAACATATAGCTCCAACTGAATTACTTGACAAAAGAGAAGGACAAGACCAATTTTTCCTTTTACAGAAGTGAGTTTATTATATTCTGGATAGAATTGTTAGGATAGTTTTTTTATGGGAGAAAGACACTCAACCATTGTTTTGTTAATTCTTTGTTACTTTTCTGGTTATCTACCCATATACTACTAAAACTCTTATTCCCATAATCTTTAACTGGACAACATGCTACATTTTGTCAACTGTTTTCAACCAAGATACCTCAGATGGGCTAACATAAAATGCATCCAAAATCCAGGATCTATAATTCCCAAAGGAAAGAAATTGTGCCTGTTTCAGTGCTGTTGGGCTGCTGCTAATTTATTTTATATTCACTTTTAAGGATACAAATTCTTACAATGAAGCCATAAGCAATTTAAGTTCCTTGTTTTATCTACCACTCATTTTACTTATTGTTAAGGCAAAAAAATTACTTACCTCAAAGCAGGAGAAGCAACTTCATGCATAATTTAGGACAAAGTGTAACACATATAGAGCCCATAAGTGTATTTTTAAAATTATCTGTAAAAACAGATAATTTGATGACTTACACCTAAATTCATTAGGGGGTGTTACTTGGAATCCTGACACCTGCCTTAATCTATCTAAAGGCAAAAAAGCAAATAAATCAAATTTCCTCCCAATGATCAGTATAAAATTTTTAAAATCATCAAAATAATTTTATTGGGAAGTACGACTTATTGGGGGGCATAGTCCAACTCAGTATTCCAAAAGGAAACATCTTTGTCAGTTCCAATTGGCCTTGAGATAATCAGAAAAAAAGCCACAAATTACGCTTCACTGTGACATCAAATATACAATAACTGTTGCCATACCTGCTCTGTATTTCAAATTATAATCACCATATTTTCCTGAAGGGAAGACCTCCCCCCTCTCCAATTATTACCTGTGGGAGGCCAAACTCAATTAAGTACATAGTACCACACCTGGGAGTAAGAGCCACTGAATTCATTGGACCTTATTATATAGTAAGCATAGGATTTCTTATGCTTTCAGTTCAGAAGGAAGGTTTCTACTGATCCAGTTCAACTAAAGGAAGATCCCAATTTTCACCACCACCCCAAAAATAAATGGGTATAAGCATCTAGTCTGAACATAACAGCAATTTACACATAGTCACTTAGCAAAAAGAGTCACAGAATTTAATAGGATTTACTAAACATGCAGATTTATGCCTGCTGAGCACAAGTGCCTGTAATTTCTGTCAGAGCATGCATGCCTGTGTGAGTGAGTGATCAACACAATTACTTGGATATATATACATATACAAGAGATCAATAAATGTTACCAATAGGGAATATTATTTTACTGCATTAATTATCATTTGATTATTACTACTGATGCACCACAAGCTGCTTTTTTACGAACTAAAAATCATTTGCTAAGTAAATACCTTGTGCTCATTTGTCCTAGAGCATTCTGCATCTTTTCGTTTCTTTTTGCTTTTTCTGTCTTTGCTGCTCTGAACCGTTTCAGTTCCGTAAGACTGTAGATCCACTCGAGAGTGGAACTGGTATCGGCCACTTTCAACATCACAGTAATAATAAATTCCAGTGGTTGGATCATAATACAGCTGATTTTCCTTTAATAAAGTTAAATATGCATCATATCTTTACATCTGGTATTTTATACATGTTACTATGTACTTTTGACAGATATATACTATAACATTTGACAATACATTTGATAAAAATACTTTGCAAGAGATATAATTCCTAAAAGCATTTGATTTTAAAAATGATGTCATTTGATTCAAACAATTCTTCTGCTTTCCCTTACTGTATATATCATCCCAATTCCTTTCTAGACAATTGTGGACACTCTGGAACAAGTTCTGTATACTGTATATAATGAGTGGTGGAGAGGGAGGCATAAAATAAGTCTTGGTATATCTGCAAAAACCCATCTATGTAATGTTGAATGTAGTCCTTGACTTAACTTTAATTCCAGAAAGTAATGGCAACATTCCTACTTTTGTTTGTGTAACAGATATCGCTCGTGCCATTTTGTCTTTTCCTGTATGAATTACTGTAATTCACTTTACACAAGACTGTTCTTTAAGATTATATGTAAACAATTACTGTATATCATATAGTAATTTCACTACCTATATCAACAGATTTCATAGCAGAATTCAAAGTACTAGTTTTCATAAATAAAGCCCTTTGTAGCTCAAATATCTACAAAATCTCAGACAGATTCTGTCTCCCTTACCCGAGTGAATACCTGGAACAGGTTGCTCCCTAAGGATAGTTTCTACTATCATCGATTTTTGGAAGCTTGTAAAAACTTGGGAATTTTAGAAGGCCTCTGAGACCGAATTGGTATGGAATTGCTGGCACCAAATGTGTAACTGTTAAGTATAATACCATCCTTTTTGCAGTTTTTTGTACGTTTGTTTACGTTGACTGTGTCATTCAAGGAAAAAAATGTGAAGAGAAAAGGAAGAGACAAAGAAAAAGTAGATAGAAAAAATAATGTTTTTTCTAATGCTTTTTCTTCATTCCTATTTTTTCTCCCCCCCCCATATTTAGTATATATTTTTCTTTGAATGTATTTCTTATTATATATATTGGCTGTGTTAATATATAATGTGCATATCTTTGTACACTTCTTAGAATCCTTCAAGTTGGAAGTGCCTACATAATCTTTATAAATAAAGCTTTATTATTAAAACAAGTCTGACTTTTATTGCTCCCTGTTCAATATTTTTGGATGAATTAACTTTTCAGTTAAATACATGTAGCACAATTCTGGATGCTATATTTCAGTATTTTAGTTTCTGCATTTCCAGATTTTTGTTATAATTAATTCGATAAAAATCAGTACTTTATTTTGTCATTGTTAGGTTAATCCTAAAATATACATTTAAGAATGTTTAATTGATACTGTTACATTAAACTGTTCTTCTGATTGCATCACTGATCTCTGAATATGAATATTAAATGGGATCACCCATTGTAATTCAATGCCCTTTGCCCTCTGTAATTCAAAGCATTCCAACATGCTACTTTAAGGGGGGACAGTTCATGAACTATGCATTTGTAGATGCCCTTGAAAATATTCTCTAATATCTGCTGAAACAAATTTCAGAGGCATGTCACCCCATATGTATTCTCATATTACTTTTACAATCCTTCCTTTACACAAACCAGTTTGAAATACACAAGCCCTGTTTTTAGTCAACCCATTTGTTAAATAGAACTGCTGATTACTTTCAAAACAAACAACATGATGATTTGCTAACAGATTCTAATGGTTAAAATTTACTCACAAGAACATACTTTAGGTAAACAATGAAAACTTCAATGTAAAAAAACTTTACCGAATTATAATAGAATCCAGTGCTATGATCATAATATAATCCAGTATTTTCATCATATGTAAATCCTGTTTGTGAAACAGCAGCTTCTGCAGCAGCTCTCAGACTTTCTGCTAATGTGCCTTCTGTTAATGAAACATCTTTTGATTTCTAGGATTAAGAAATACAATATGACATGATAAATTATGATATGTAGGAATATTGCAATTTTTATTTTGCAAACTTTATTTTATAGTAACTTTATAAAGGATTCACCAAATCCCAAACTAAGTTTAGATTTCATTCTATGTGATAAGATTTCATTCCATATGTTCATTCCAAAATATTATCTGTTAAATGTATTAGCTTATAAGAGCAACCAATCCCACTTTTTTATTATAAATTATTTGTGTGTGAATCTCTAACATAATACAATAATGTATGAATTGCATCTTATATTTTTAAAAAGATAAATTTTCCATATAAAATATTTTAAAAATCATACTAACAAAAGAGTTGTAAAAACTTTGTAGAAAAGTACACTGTAAAAAAAATATGCTTATTGTACAGAAAAACAGAGTTGGAAGGGACCTTGGAGGTCTTCTAGCCTAATCCCCTGCTTAGGTAGGAAACCCTACATCACTTCAGACAACTGGTTATCCAATCTCTTCTTAAAAATTTCCAGTGTTGGAGCATTCACAACTTCTGGATACAAGTTGTTCCACTGATTAACTGTTCTAACTCTCAGGGAATTTCTCCTTAGTTTTAAGTTGCTTCCCTCCTTGGTTAGTTTCCACCCATTGTTTCTTGTCCTACCCTCAGGTGCTTTGGAGAATAGTTTGAGTCCCTCTTCTTTGTGGCAGCCCCTGAGATATTGGAACACTGCTATCATGTCAACTCTAGTCCTTCTTTTCATCAGACTAGACATACCCAGTTCCAGCAACCATTCTTTATATGTTTTAGCCTCAGGTCCCTAATCATCTTTGTTGCTCTTCTCTGCACTCTTTCTAGAGTCTCAACATCTTTTTTACATTGTGGTAACCAAAACTGGATGCAGTATTCCAAGTGTGGCCTTATCAAGGCATTATAAAGTGGTATTAACACTTCATGTGATCTTGATTCAAAATGATCTTGATACAGAAGTATTTTTAAATTACTCCAAACTTTTATTTTAGTAATTCTTAAAAGTCTCCAGAATCATGCAAATAAAATTCAGTGGCAGATTCCCAAATAGTTTTATTCATAGTTTTCTGCTAATTTCCAAAAGAATAGAAAGTAGTGACTGTTGCTAAAATTAACTCCATCCATTTGTGAAATGCACTGATGTTATTACTGTAGTCACTAAAAATAGAATTTAAAAAAATATTATTTCATCTCTTCACTACAAAGCATTGCCTACCCAGACACAATCCTTCCACAATTAAAATAGACAATAAGGCTATTTTAAGATTATATCAAGAATGATCAATATGGAGGGAAGCTGCTAAAACGTAAAGAAGCACTTAGCGGCATGTGTTTCATCAATAATACACAGCTACTGTACAATAATACACAGCTACAATTAAGAATTTTAAGTTTATTTAGAGAAAAATGTTTCTTCTTTCATGCATCGTTATCTACATTTCATGTAGAAAATTCAAAATAATGCCTCAAGCATCAATAGATAGTATAATGACATATATAATTAATCTTTGTCCCGGTAATTAATCTTAGTATCCTTTTAGTACATTGTTGTTTATTAGTGAACTTCCAGCATTTCTAAACAAAAACTAATTTAAAAGATGTTAGAAAAATGAAATGAACAATGAAATATGCCACAAACAATTTTTGGATGAAAAAAATATATAAATTTGACAAATAAGCTATCTTACCTGCACATTATTTATTATGTTGCCCTGTTCCTCAAGCTCATCCTGCTGTCTGTCTTTAACTTCTAAATGATTGTCTAATTGTAAATGATCTGTACAATTTGAGTTCAATATTTCATTATCGTTATTTGGCTGCACTGGTGCACTGGATAATTCAGAACAGTTGTAATAATTATGAGGATAGTAATAATCTGTTAAAAATCAGAGTGAAGAATTAGAAAAACTACTTTACATACGAGACAATATTCATTTTATTGATATATATAAAACCAATTTCCTAGTGTTCATGCATTAAAGTCTATCACAATTTAAATACCAAAGTAAGATTCTATTGACTTTTAAGAAGGTGTCTTTTAGTTCTGAGTTTAATTTCTACTGCATTATTTATAACAAAATAATAATGTACAGTAATTTGGTATTTGTAAACCTGCTTGGAAATCTTTTTAGTTTCATTAAGACAAGATAGGCAGACAGGCAGATATGGATACACATCATATAAATAAATAGCATAAAAGCATGCAAAAAATACAAAGTGTTGTTAATGTGCCTATGCTAGGGCTCTGCGTAATATTGAGATTATTGACACTTCTAGAGTACCATATTTTCCCCCCAAAAGTGGGTGGAAATGTCTGTGTGTCTTATGGAGCGAATATTGCGCCACAAACCAGGGCGCCGCAGCAGGGGGGGAGGTGTTGGCGGCAACAGGCAGCGACGAATGGTCTGCCGCCGCCTATTGCTGCCACTGCCGCCAGGGAATGCTGGAGCCTTGGCCACTGAGCAGTTGATCGGCGGTGGTTGTTGTGGCTCCGTTGCCTGAGCCTGGGCTATCAACAGATGCAGACTCTGAGAGTGAGGGAGAGGAGTTGGCAAGGCCTCCCTCTCCAGGACCTCCTCTCTGGCAATGCCTCCGGAGAACACCGAAGGCCAAAATATAGGCCCAGAGCCAAGCACGTCCCCGCAGCCACAGGTGGACAGCGAAGAAGTAGATAAGTGTTGGCTGGACCCTCGGCAGAGGCGCAGGGAGAAGCGTGCGCAGCAGAGGGGAAGGCATGCCAGAGATTAGTTGAGTCACTGGACCACACCCCACAGGGTATAAATGTGGGTGTGGTGGCCGGTTCAGTTTGTGATGAGCAAAAACTAGAAATAATCCATGATCTCTGCGTTACTGGACTTCTGCCTGCCTTGTCGGACTGCATTTGGACTAATCCTTGTATTGTTGAAACTCTGCCTGCTTTATCGGAATGCTTGCAGTCTAATCTTTGTTTTGTGTGAGTAAAGTCTGAATTGGCAGCTAGCCACTGGGTTGCTGCCAGCTTTATCTTCAAAGATTTTGTCGTGTGGCTTATTAACTCCGGGCCATCCGTGGGGGTGCGTGTGTGGGACGGGGACAGAGCAGTTATATCGGCCTCCCAGAATACCGCTGATCAGCTGTTCTAGGCGGTGGGGATCGCCGGTGCCTATCGCTGCTGCCACCTATTGCCAGCAAACAGTGCTGGCGGCAAACACCTGGAACAGCTGATTGACAGTATTCCAGAAGGCCGATCCAACCGCCGATCAGCTGCTCAGCGGTGAAGGCTCCAGCGTTCCCCGGAGGAGGCAGCAGGCACGGAGGAGGCAGCAATGGCATCGTTTCTGGTCAGCCAGCCCGCTGATTGGCGGGGCTATGGGAGGCCAGGATCCAGCCGTTGCTCAGGTGACCAGTGGTGGGCACAATGCAGAGGAGCTCTGACGAGCCACGTGCTGGGGCTCGGAGGCAGAGGCAGATTTTTTTTCTTGTTTTCCTTCTTTAAACCTAGGTGCGTCTTATGGTCTGGAGCATCTTACGGAGCGAAAAATACGGTAATTCAAAGATACATAAGAAAACTATAAGACATTCCAATCATTGTGAACACCTAAAAGCATATTTTTCCTCAGTGGATTTGCCTTGGGGAACAGCCTTAACCCAAACATCAATTTTGATAGCAACTGATTTTGATAGCTTCTCTGGAGAGGTAGAAGCTAGGGATAAGCAAATAGGAATGTTAGATTTATTACACATTTATTTTTTAGTTTTAAAGTATATCGTCATTATGAATCTTTACTGTTGGACAAAATATTAAACTCAAAGATAGAACAGGGATTAATAATGAATTTATATAACCAAATAGATACTTGAAAAAGACAGGGTTGATTTTGATTGGCTCAAATTGTATCATATCTAGTTACTTGATTGAACTTTTGTTATTATAGCTGGTCATGATATGAACTGTAATTTTAAAAACTACATTAAATACCTTCTCTTCCCCCCACCACCCTTCTTTTCTTTTCAAATAATGTATTTCAGTCTATAAAGGGAAGTAATTATTTAAATATTACTATTTTTAAGTTGCATTGGCAGCTATTGTCTAAATAATTTCATAACAAAATTTTAATAATAAATGTAGACTTACAATGCAACTTGGAGCATTTTGTATCGGTTAGGACGAAGTATTTTATCAGCAAGACAAAAACAACAGGCATGTATCTAATAGCCACAAGTTTATTTTGAATCTAATAAAGGAGAATATTTGTAGTTCAGGGTTGAAACAAGAGGTCCTTGTTGCTCTCTGAGCTTGGTTGTTTTTTTGTAGACATTCCATTATCCAAACTAGGTAACATCATAAGTGCTAACAAACAATGTTAGAAAACAAACCAAGCTCAGAGCAACAAGGACCCTTTATTTTGTATTTTCATAGGATTTCCATTATTTCCTATTACCTGCATATAACCATGCAGCAGAGTCTTCAGTTTGCACTTCTACAGTAGATGTTGTCCTATCATTTCTTTCACCATTGCTGACTTTACAAAGTTTTTCAACCTACAAAATAAGACAAGCAGTTAAAAATTAAACCCACAGCATAGATTAGTATGACTTATTCAACCAAAAAATATTTCAAATAGATCAGACCCTCCTTTGTATAGAAAGGGAAAAAAGAGTTGCTGGACATGCATGTTAATTTGACTGCCAGACAAAATTTGATACTTTCAGATAACTACATTTTTTTGAATTACTAGAACTTGGAAATTGATCAGTGAACAACCGAAATGGATTTTCCATGCACTGCTTAACAGTAACACGGTTGTCCTTCATCACTGGAAAGGTACATTTATGGTGCATAGTTCTAACGTTATTTGCAATATATGAAAGAGTTGCTTACAGAGTGGATTATGTATTGGAAATAATAGTCAAACTTTATTGAAACTTTGTGTGTACATATAAGTCATAGTGTATATAATATTTTTATTGTTGGTTGTTTCTTTTTTGCTTTTGCTTTTTGTGTCTATTCTCTTTAATTAAAGGGAGGGGGAAATTAAAAAAAACCAAGCCCAAAACAAAATCATGTAAGATATGGTCACGCCTGCTAGTCTAATCATCTTCTAGCATGCCATTAGCTGTATAGCTAATCCTCAATTTATAACTACAATTGGGACTGAAATGTCCATCGTTAAGTATTGTGATAGTTAAGTGAACTATGCCTGAATTTATGGCCATTTTTGCTGCAGTCATTAAGTGATTCACTGCAGCCATTAAGCAAATTCAGCTTCTCCCTATTGAATTTGCTTATCGTAAGTCCCCCAGAAGGTCAATAAAGGTGATCACTTGACCTAGGACACCAGGACTTTTGCAAATGTAAATGTGGCTTGCCACAAGCCTGACTTTTGATCACACAGGGATGCTGCAGTAGCCATAAGTACAAGGACCGGTTGCAAGTCATTTTTTACAGCAGCAGCATAATTTCAAATGGTCATTGAACAAAGTCAAACACTGCCTATAAATGGATTGTGCCGCCTAATTCATCTTTTATCCATCACGTTGGTTTGCTTTTCTCTCTTTTTAATAGATTCGTAATGTTCCGTGGCTCTGAAAGACTCCTGAGAGCCCTTAACTACCTTCTGAATCATTTGAGAGAACTTATGTCTAAGCCTACCTTCCTCTGGAATAAAAGTATTAGGAATAGAACAGAGCCTTGATAGTACAGTGGTTTAGTGCACCCTGTTATTAACACAGCTGCCTGCAATTTCTGCTGGTTCAAATCTCTCCAAGGCTCAAGGTTGACTCAGCCTTCCATCCTTTCTAAGGTAGGTGAAATGAGGACCCAGTTTGTGGGGGCAATAAGCTGACTTTGTATAAAATATACAAAAGAATGAAGGCTATTGCTTAACGCATTGTAAGCCGCCCTGTGTCTCCGGAGAAGGGCGGCATATAAATCAAATTAAAAATAAAAAAGATCATAATGTGTGTGTGTGTGGGGGGGATGTATGTAGTCCCCAAGAATCAAAAAACGATGTGATGATGGTATTTAATGAGTCAACAGGGCAACTGCAAGCCAGATATAAATAAATACAGGGCAGCTGCCATGTTGAGAAAAGAACGGCAGATGCTAAGCCAGGATCTAAGGAGGGAAATCTTAGGGAAAGCTGGACCAGGACGGTTCAAGTCAAGCCCAACATCTTTTCCACACTCTGCTCCCTAGCAGGGAAACTTAAGTAGAGGTAGCTGAGGCGCAGGGTTGCCTCTTGTCTCTATCCAAGGCCCGGCAGTGAATCAAAGAGGACCTCCTCCCTTCAACAGAGGCGACAAGCAACCGACTCCCGGCTGCGCAGCCTCAGCAGAGCGACTGCCTGTCCCCGAGAAGCCGGCCGGAGTGGAAAGGCGCAAGAGCCGCGGGGCCTCCCCGACAGCTCCCGCCAGAGCGCCTCACCTGCTTCCGTAACTTGGCCGAGCAGGCCTGGGCTTGGAGGCGCCGCTTCTTTTCCCGCTCAAGCCGGCTCCGGCAGGCGCTCAACTCCGCTTCCAGCGCAGCCACTTTCTCCCGCAGGGCAGCCGCCGGGGACTCGCCGGTCGCCTCGGCCATCCCTTCCCCCCACCCGCTCTCCCTGCGAGGAGGCGCGGCGGCTGCTCAGCGATCAGCCGGGCTGGCTGAGGAGCAGCGACCTCGGCGCCTGTTCAGCAGCGCCGCCGCCGGTGCCTCCGCAACGTCCCTCGAGCCCATCGCAGCCGCGAGAGGCCCCGGCGCCGTCTGCCGCTTCCCTTTTTCTCCTCACGCCGCCCCGCCCCTCGGCTCCTCGTGGGCCTTCCTCCCTCAAGAAAACATAACAAAGTTCGTCGGGGATTATGGGCGGCCTCGTCGCTCTTCCTGAGAAGGGAGGAAGTGACGCCTTTCTGCGCCAAAGGAGGATCGGATCGGATCGGCTGCGTCCTCTTCCCGGCCTGCATTTTGGTGGCCGAGGAGGGCGCGGAAAGTCTTTGTCCGTCCCTCACCTTTTTTTTTTTTCTTCCATGCTGTTTTAGGGCTGGAGTCCCAAAGGTTCTTTCCCCCCCCCCACCTCAAGAGGCAACTGGACTGTCTGGTTTTTCTTTGAAGACGTTTCGCTTCTCATCCAAGAAGCTTATTTAAGTCATAAGTTTATTTTGTCAAGCATATATAAGATAACATGTAAAAGTATAAACATAATTTGAATACATGAAAAGAGTAAGTAAAAAGGAATATTAGGTCAGGGACGGTAGGCACGCTGGTGATCTTATGCACGCTCCTTACAGACCTCTTAGGAATGGGGTGAGGTCAAAAGTAGGCAGTTTACGGTTAAAAGTTTTGGGGGTTTGGGGAAGAAACTACAGAGTCAGGTAGTGCAGGGGTGGGCAAATGTGGCCCTTTTACAACCTGTGGACTTCAACTCCCAGAATTCCTGAGACAGCTTGGCAGGCCGGGAAGAGGACGCAGCCGATCGGATCCGGTCCTCCAGTCGAGCTACGCTGTTAAAGAACAGTGATTTTCATCACTGAATGAATATAAATGAATATCATTGCGGATACATTGAATTATTTATACACTGCCAGTGAGTCATTATTAGATGCTCCCCCCCCCACAACAAATAACCTTCCCCCTTTAAGGGCAAGAATAGTATTTTCATATTAAATGTCAGTTCAAATAGTGGATATCTTCTGAAAAAGCAGTGCTTCAATGTACCTTGTGTTTTATCAAATACCCAAGATGAATGGAGCAAAGCAGTTTTCCCACAGTAGCAATGAAGGACTTACCTTAACCTGGATATTTCTAATAATTCCGAATGAATTTTGGAATAATGCAAAAAGCAATCCGCAGGTTTACGGAATAGGCTACTTTGGTTTCATTCTTCTATGAAAAGCCAAGATGAGGAGAAGTGAAAGAAAATAATTGAGTTACTGAAATATTTATGTTGGGGGTTTTTTTTCCTAATTTTTTTCCCATTTTTAAAATTGGCAATCCTCAAAGATGGTTTCTCTAGAACAGCAGTTCCCAAAGTTTCCAGATTCCTGAAAGTCGGTCTACAAAATCAAATAAATATTTTAAAATTTCTCAGTTTTAATTTATAATACAGTACACATTGATAAATATAACCCTCAAAAAACAAAGCTGCTTGTATTCTCAGTAATTTTTAAAGTGAAGTTTTGAGACCAAATATTTGAGAAATGCTGCCCTAGAAGATCACTTTCACCAGTCATAAATGCAAACCGGTTGCCAAGTGCCCAAAATACAATAGTGACTTCTAGAGGGGCATCAATCATAACATTGAGGATGGGTTTTAAGTAGCTTTTAAAGTCTGATGTTACTGAATGGTTAAACAAGGACAACCTGTATTGCAATTATCTCACAGTTGAAAAAAAAAAGCCAGAGATGATTTACACTCCTGGTTGAGCAATAAGTGAGTGCAAAATCAGCTTTTGGTAGTATTGTCAGCACTACCTTGGCCATTCTCATGGCAAGGAAAAAAACAACTTAGTTTTAATTCCCTTAAGAGCCTATGAACCAGGAGGCAGAAAATAGAGGGAGTTCTTGTCGGAACGAAAGCTGCCCAGCTTGGCAGCAATGTATCTCAAAACAAAAAATGGAAATTAATTTTATATTTTGGGATTTTGTGCAGCCAAGGCTCTCGGGAAGCTTTCCAGATAGTCACTCACGGCTGGATTATTGTAATGCACTCAACATGGGACTGCCCTAGAAGACGATTCAGGAGCTACAGCTGGTCCAAAATGAAATAGCACAAGCAGTGTTGGACAATTCTTAGTCACCCATTTACACTGATTGTCATGGAGCCTGGATGCAATATGGTTATCACCCATAAATAGAGCCAAGTTATCTAAGGTGCCACTTGTCTCCCATATTTTCAACTTGCCCTGTAAGATCAGACAGATGCAATGCAGTTTGACTCCCTTCAATTAAAAAATGCTATCTTTCGGGCCCCAGTAAGTATGCCTTCCCTGTTGTAGCTCCCACCTTCTGGAATGATATCCTCCATGAGATTTGGATGGGTCTTTCACCGATAACATTCTAGAAGTGTTTCAAAACTTGGCTATTCTCCCAGGCACTGGAGTAGGTTTCTGAATCCCTGTTCTGCTTACTGTCGCATTAGTTAGTTTTATTACTTCTTTTTTAAAAATGTAAACCACCCAGGGTTGGAGATGGTGACATTATAAATAAGTAAATAAATAAATAAAAATGCACACAAAATTTAGCTCAATTGCTGAAAGACAACACTAACTTGACAATAAGGATATGGTGGTGTTCATTGGAGCCAGGCCCTCTGTGATAAAACTTTAAGCCTATCACCTTCATCCAATTTTGCCCTCAAATTTTAAAAACTGGAGAAGCTTCTTTTTAAAAAATCAAACTTTAAAATGTAAACATGACAGATTTATCTACTCGGAGCTGTTACGTTCATCCAATTTTATTAAAAATGTTCTTAAAAATTTTAATTTCCCATTTTTAGTAATAGCTAGTAAGAAAAATGAAAATCTGGATTTCTTAATCTCATTTTGAATTTAGATCGTGTTTAAATAGGTAGTTTTTGACTTAGAGACTTCTCTAATTCAGAGATGATCTGAATTATTTTCAGAACTGGAATCTGAACCAAATCCTTTGGTTATTGCATAACCTCACATGTTTTTTTTGTCCTTGTGGTTTGTTGTACTGAAACTTACTTTCAACCTTCAGCTGTCTAGATACTTTCATTAGAATCCAGTAGATGGTGTTGGTGTACTGTTAACCACAATAGTATATTTTGTCACATGTTGCCAAACAGTTCTGTTCCTATTTACTACCATTCTTTATGAAGAATTGCTATCAAACTGGCAAACCATATTTTGTTTAATAAATAAGAAAGAAATGTATTCAACATGTTTCTCTAATCCTTTTGTCACTTACAATTTCATATAGAAGCTTCTGTTTAATGAGAATATATTAGACAAAAGTCCAACTCGACTTCTAAAAAGATGTATACAACTTATAAAAATACTGGTGAGCAATCCTTCTTTTCTATAAAGTCACATTGTGATGTTAATGAAGATCAGGTGCAAGGTGATTGCCTTCTTAAATGGAAAGCCTTTGAATGTATAGGATTTAGTGCACATAAAAATCTTCCCATGAACAGTTCCATATCCAGAGTTCCTTCATTTCTGTAAAGAGCACCGCCTTAATGGAGAGAGGGAAGATCTCTTACCAACGCAACAAAGAGGAAAACATAGCTGGAGTCCAGACAATGAAAGTGGATTACAAAAATCTTTTAGCCTAGTCTACCTTATAGGGTTGACAACTGAAGACTTTGCACTGCTGTTGTGGAGAACAGTTTGACTGGTGACAGTGTGACTTTACAGAAGAAAATTTATGGTACACCAGGATTATTAGAACCAGAAGAAGGTTAAGTAACACTCAGGTTTCCTTGATTTGATTAATAAATTTCCTGCCCATTTTTGGCTTTTTGAAGAGATTCTGCATCATAAATTTATTCAGATATTAATATATTTGAAATTAAATGCATTACATTTGAGAAAATGTATGAAGTAATGCATTTGCTGTCTTGTTTCCTATTGCATATATGGAGCATACAATGCAGCATTTCCTGGAATGACAATCTGACCTTCATCCACCAAATTAAAAGACCAATATGAAAAAATAAATAAGAAACCTGCCTCAAAAGAATAGACAGAAAATAAAATAAGCTTTATCCAGTTCAGCTTATTTTTACTTATGATGGGGGTGTACCTGAAAATCCTAACTACAGAATATTTTTTGACATAGGATTTGTTTTACCAATGGTTATATAATAGAGGTAAAAATTAGAAGTTGGTAGAATACCATTATGTACAAGAAAATAATAATATTACTATTATTATGTATAACTAAATTGTCTCAGGCAGCACACTGTTTAATAAGCACTTATGTATGTTAAAGAAAAATGTATAAATAAAATATTTTTTAAAAATCCTAACTGTTCTAAAATATTCAATGATAGACCAATTTAGCCAGTTTACTGGATAACATACTTGAATTAATGCTTTAGGCCTAGTTTTGTAGCACAACCGGTCTTGGTCATTTTGCAGCATGAGCTATGCTAAGAAAGGGATGGGAAGAATGTAGCCATCTTGGCTGTCAAAGCAGCTTTTAATATATACATACCAAAGTATATATTAGTATGCTTTGTATACTAATAGCATACTATTAGTATATTAATTAGTATACAGTTAATTAGTTTCTCTATCTCTCGCCCTCTACACACACACACACACACACAGACATGTATTTCTTTGTTATTAGTCAGTAGTAAGTATTTCAACCCCATACAACATCTGACGAAGGTACTATTTTCCTCTGAAAAGAAGACTTTTGATGGTAAGTATTGTTAGCTGCTCTTGGACCAAATATGTGTATTTCTCAGTTCTCAAGCTACATTATCTATGATTTGCATTCTGTCAAAGTGAAGCTTTTACAAAGTTATCTTTTTGCCTTGCTTTTTGCTTAGTAGTTCTGAATCCCTTCTTAGTTTGTGGAAGCAATCAATCATCAAGTCACCATGCTGATTTATCTTTTGATATATCTGGTAATAACAGAAAAAAGGAACACAGCTATAAATACTTTTATCATCAATTACAGGTTAAGCCCATTTCTGTGAAAGAGCTAATTTACCAAGAGATATAAGATTTGTTGTACTTTTAGTTTTGTCATAAGACCAAAAAAGGTCATAAGACATTTGTGTCTTGAAGATAAACTGCTCTAAAAAAGAACAATTATTAATAGTAAACTATTAGTAAACTATTAGTAAACTATTTATATTATGTTATTAATAATGTAGGCTTTACAAATATTATTATCCCAAAAGTTAGCAAATTTTGCAACTTAAT